GACAGCCACAGGCTGCTGTCCACCAACGTAGGGTCAATCATCCTTTCAACACTGTGCATAACACTACTGGATTTCGGAGGCACTTACAGAACCCTTACCTAACTTGGTTTTCTGCAACCCCCAGCGACTTTTTTCTAAATAGTGCAAGTGAAGTGAAGCTTCAAAATGATACGAAATTTACGAATTTTGTTGAATATCCATTTTAGAAATAAAACTGAATGTTTGCAAGTACACAAGTTTTTAAATGACACTTTTCATGTTGATTGAACTTTTTTAATGGTTGTAGAAGAAAAAACATTTTCAAATTTGTAAAACAACGGCACAAAAGATATTTATAAAAGTATTTAAGGTAAATGCATGCTTAAAGTTTCAAGTTTAACATACAAACACAGACAGTTTTTGTTGTTATAGTATGCTTTAGTGCCGTTTATAACGAAAAATTAATAGTCTACGTACCTTTGCTTTAAATTTAATTATTAAAATAATTTAATAAAATTTTACTGGATAAAATCACATAGATCCAACTATCTACCAGACAGGAGACAGGCATTTTACTCAGCAGTCCACGTTTAGTTTTCAAAATGTTTGCAGTGCTAAAGTTTGTACATCTCCAAAAGCATAATCCAAGATTTTAGGGCATTATGGAAGAAGTGGAGTTCTTTTTTACCTTATAAGTATAACACTAACTTCAGCATGTGACGAAAGACAGATCTAATCTTTTTTTAACTTAAAACTAAATAAATAGTACAGTACAGTTCACTCGCAGAAACAATACTTGTATATTTGGCCCTCTCGAATCATTTTTTTTAACTCGGCTCCCAAGTTTTACCCATTAATTATATAATTAACTACTCTCATTAAATAAGAAAACCAAAAGAGAAGCTCTACCCATTCGTCTCGATCTCAATCGTGATTTTTTCTTCGTTGTTAGACCGGACGGAGCGTAATTGTAAAATCGATATTTCCCTATACAAATTTACCATTTTAAACATGTTTTAAGTTTCTTCTTCTTCCCACCCGCCCTATATCAATTGTGATGATTTTTTTATTCGTCGTGAGCCAAGGTGGCGGAGCTTAATTGTAAAATCCTTATTTCTCTACAAGAAATAAAAAACATATTTTTGGGTATCGTGTTATTTAAAGAATATTATGTATATTATACCCATACTTGCCCTGATCTAAATAGTAATGAAGTTTTCATTCGTTGGCAGACCTAGGGGCGGAGCCTAATTGCAAAATCCATATTTCCTTCTAAAAAAAATCATCACAATTGAAATGGGGTGGATGGGCGGGGTCTATATTTTTCCTTTTTATCTTAATATACATAGCATTCTTTGAACAATATGATACTCAAAATAGTATATTATTAGCCAAGGTTGCAGAGCCAAGCATTCTAGACCGAGCGCAAATTAGAACCCGAGACGCGCAGCGTCGAGGGCTCTGAAGCGCGAGGTCTAGAAGTGGCTTTGCAACCGTGGTTAATATACTATTTTTTTCACTAGTAGAAACTATAAGACAATAAATTGAAAAAATAAACGTTCAATTTTTTGACGCAACATGATTTTGTTTTGATTTCTAATCAAACTTAATCTAAATCTTCAACACAAAGAAAACCGTTTATACTTGTCGCTGAGTTAATCATTTTATCTTCTACCGTCTACCAACTACCATGCGTATACTCAAGTAATGTTAATATCACACATTTATTCATTTTTTAAAAAATAATCACATCAAGTATTGCGTACATAACCTCAATCTTCTTTTTGAACCGGTGGTCGCAAAAGTTGAATTTGCTACCTCTAAATGAGTCGACATTTGGATGCTTCATGGCTGCTAGTGAAAAAACATATTTTTAATTTCTTGTAAAGAAATAAGTATTTGGCAGTTAAGCTCCGCCTCTTTGTTTCACGGCGAATAAAAAAAATCATCACAGTTGAGATAAGGCGGGTGGGCGGGTTTAAATGTTGGGTGTTTGTTTTAGTATGTGTAGACTTCTTTTCACAACATGAAACTTAAAACATGTTTAAAATGGAAAATTCGTATAAGAAATATCGATTTTCCAATTAGGCTCCGCCCCCTAATTGCAAAATCCATATTTCCTTACAAAAATGTACCATACTGACCATGTTCTAAGTTTCTTGTTGAGAAAAATGGCTATGTATATAAAAAAAGGCAGTATGTACTTGCCAAAATAAGAGTGACTTTGGCAAATGAGATACCCTCTAAGAAAAGAGAGTGTGGGTGGGTGGGGCTAGTACCTGACCGATTTAGGCAAAGCACATGTTTATTGTACAATTAAATGTAAATAAACCGTTGTTATACCTGTGTTAATTTGATTCCAAAGTGAGTTAGGTTAATTTTCAGATGCACATTCTGAATCAATCGTCAAAAATTTCATTTTTGGGAAATTGGGAGTGAAATTCGAATTTTTTGAGACTTACCAACTGTGATATTTTTTATAGTTGAATTTATTCTATTGATAAAAAATGTTTTTAGTCTAATATCCCCATTTAATTGTTTAATGAAGTAGTTTTAAATTTTGGAAAACCTGACAGCTGATCTCTGATTATAACGAAACGCAGGTGTTTAACATAAATTTTATCAAAATGAAATTTAATACATAGGTATACAGAGTCATCAAAATTGATTGAGAGAGTTGTTACTCCCTGTTTTTGCCATGAAGTTTGTCAACTTTATGACAGATTTGTTTAAGGTTATGTGGCAATGAATTCAGTGGCGTGACAAGAGAACTGGGAGTTGATTGTCGAACTCACCTGAATCAGTTGTGGATACGAAAGTTACCTTCTTGCAAAGTTGCGAACAGTTTTAACATTTGTACGAATCGCCTTGGTCGATGCGCACCCTATACTTTATTGCTACTCACATATTAGGAAACGCAATCGAACAAATCTAAAATTGGAAACTTCAAATCTGACAAGTAATATTTTTTACCAAAAAAAAGACGCCACTGAGTTCTGAAATTTGAAACTTGAAACTTGAAATCTAGCAGCTAATATTTTTATACAACTTAATAAACCAAATTATTAAAGTTCATGTTTACCAACTCTCTCAATCAATTTTGATGACCCTGTATAGTATTTTTGAGATTATCGAACCAGAATACATTTATACCCTTAACCAAGTTTCCCAAAAACTATATAGATAAAAAGTTTTTGTTTATCTTATTACCACTTCAATTTTTAATATTTACCTTTTTTTAATCAATGGGGATTATAAGAGGTCCTTACAGAAATCATAAAATACCAAAAAAAGACGTTTCAACTTGTTAGTATATAATACATATAGATAGATATATGTCGTTAAACACTAAAAAAAGATAAAAGGAAAATCAAATTAATAACTAAGCAAATGTAGTTTTTCGTACAACAGCAGTACAGCGTGTAAAAATAATTATTCATACAACAAGTGAGTAAAGTGTATCTTTACTTACGAATTGCATATGAACCTTTTTAGACGTTCATAATAAAAATCAAGAACTTTCAGCTCTCCAGTCCATAAATAAGCCGTATTAATTTCAGAGGCTTCCACGGTCGGAGTCAATATATGATCGTTTTCTGGGTTGGGACCGTGTTAATTGACTTTTTGGGCTCAACATTTCACACACTTTCGTAAGTGGCATCTTCAGGAGCAGGGTTGAGAAATTAGGAATAAGGCTAAAGAGCACGATAACTCAGTATGTCAACCATACCAGAGGCGAAACTCTTCTGAAGAGCCTCTTGTATGGTTAACATACTGGTTACCGTGTTCATTTGCCTTATTCCTCATTTCTCAACCCTGCTCCTGAAGATGCCACTTACGAAAGTGTGCGAAATGTTAGCCCAAAAACTCAATTAACACAGTCCCAACCCGGAAAACGATCATTTAATAAGCCGTAATCTCTTAAATATTGACTTTTGAATTTTTCCAGTAATAGATTCAATATGGGCGTATGTATTGTATTTTTCAAAATTAAAAAAAACACCAACACTGTATTCTACCTTGAAAATACATCTGACAACACCGTCGTATTAAAAGTTTGATATGCGGGGAAAACAAAGATAAGTTGTAACTAAGTTATACTCAATTACAGATTCTGGAAGGGTTCTGATGTTCCAAAACGCGTTAAAGAGAGATAGTAAACTCAAATTCTACAAAACGCTAATATAATTGACTTAATTTATTTGTGCTTTCGTGTTTCATGATAACAATTTTGACGTTCGTGGAAGTTTCAGTTATAATATAACAAGTGATATGATTATTATCGATAATATTTCGAGTGAAACCGAGCTGCAGATTCAACGAGTGCGAAGCACGAGTTGAATGTGCTGCTTCGGTTTCACGAGCCATATCTTCGATTATTAATCATATCACGAGTTATATTCAACATGAGAATATAATAAATGAACACATTTTTTTATAATAGAATTGATTTCGTCGTTTTGAGCTTGCTCCCAACGTTGGCAAGCCATAAAAGACAAAAAAATTTACGAAATTTTAAAATTTGTCAATTTGACAGTTTTTAAATTTAGATAGCAACAGACCACAATAAGGCAATAAAATTATTATCGCTGTGATAGACATGTAACTAAGGGCATGAACAAATTCTATTGGAAGAAATGGGGTCATGTGATTCATGAATTATATTCTCAACGGTATAATACGAAAATCACCAAGTGGTGGTTTTTAATTTTGGCAAAACTATACTTGTCACCTTGACTATTTCTTCGGGGTGGACGAGAAATTTTCGTCGGTTTTCGATTCCATTGTCCGAGCGTACAAATTACCATAAAACACAGAGGAAACTAATATAAAGCACTCAAAATTATGTTTTAAATGAATAATGCCTTTTCGTAATTACATATGAGTATGTTGCTATGTTGTTTATTACAAGTGAGTCATCTTATTCATTTTAGACAGAATTCGGCTGCACTTAATCTGTGTATATGTAAATAAAACTGTGTGAAAGAAATAAAAAAACCTGAAATCATGATTTGTTTCAGCTAGCCGTGAATCAGCATTTGCTCATGCTTTAGCGGCAGCTGGTGTGTCTTACGCTGTGTCAAGAGCTTGCAGAGATGGGCAGTTATCTTCATGTGGCTGTTCTAGAATGGGAAGGCCAAAAGACCTTCGCAAGGATTGGATATGGGGTGGCTGTGGTGATAATTTGGAATATGGATACAAGTAAGTAATTCAACGGCATTTGTATGTCTTTTTATTCCATCATTTCATTTAAATATAGCAAATATTCAAAGTAGGGGCATTTGAAGACTAAAATTGATATTTGTAATTTTGAACCTACAACTTGTTTGCTTCTGTTATCTGACAATCCTCGAATTCAAGTGATCATAAATATCTACTTTTATTTTTTATTTTATTCACTAGAATAATACGCATGAATTTTTGTAGTAAATAAAGTTGGAAAATTAAGAAGAAAGACACGAATTTTTGCTCTCCTTTGTAAAGTTTGAAAGAAAGAAATCTTGCATAAACTCTACGATATGGTTTAGCAAAGTCGCCATTTAAAAGTGACTTAAGCTGCTAAAGTAATAAACACTTTATATCTGCATCAAAGTATGAAAAAGTCATCTAAAACATAAATATGGCATTTGCTAATCAAGAATATACTTACTTGAATCAAATTTCTTGGAACCGAACAACTATTTTTTTTTACATTCACTAGTGAAGCTTGGATTCATCATAATAAATCAAAAGCCAAACATAACGTACATACTGATGTAACTGCGGTGGTTCTCTGCCATCAGATGAAAAATTACCACTTTTAGTAAGAAAGGTTATTGCTACTGGCAGGTATTCGTAAAAGAAGATTACCGATTTATAGCTTCTAGGAACTCACACAATAACTAACTAATATTACTATTTTTCTCAATAAACTTGTTTTCTATAGAGTTTCCTGTTATTTCATTTTTAAATAATATAATATTTACCAGTATTCAGTCTTTATCGAAACGCTTGAAGGCAACATTCTGTAAAATTTGTATTATACAATTAAATAAATTGACCAACTACTCCAACTAGTACATAGTTACTAAGGAAAAGATTGTGTAACCCATGCTTCTGTAGTTATAATTAGCATTTTCTTTAGTTTAAAATGTATTTCGACGATCAAATGTAAATGAGGGCAATTTTTCAAAAGCAACAACTACATTTTAACTTGAAGGACAACATTTTCCTAAAACTTTATGGAATAGTATTTAGTTCACAACGCAAAGAAAAATTTGTCGACGCAGTTTCATAATATTTGGCTAATAGTTGACTTTCACATATATTCATGGCTTGTTTCAGTGAATTTTACAGTTATATATTTTTTTGTTATGTTGATTCATTTTTATAAGATCTACTATTGATTGAGAGTAAAACCTTTCTATTTTAGTAAAACAAACGTGAACAAAAGAAATCCAAGGAATTATTTAACTCATTAAAAAGAGTTTTGCGTGAAATTGTCGGCATAAATTAATTCTGGCAAATGATGGTAAACTACATATGTGTGTAACGCATTCACGAAGTATCATTAGTGTTTTCGAATCGTTTTTAGCTCAACCAACGTCTCGTTGAAAAGCTTCATTCTCTTGTACCATTTCACGTACTAGTTAAACAATAATTACTTTCATAAGTGTAAAGAGCAATGTTTTTCTACTGAGGAGTGTTTGTAGGCGTGCGAATTGAAAAAAGGCTTTTAGCTCTTGTTATGAGCATCATTTTTCACACAGTATTATCTTTTTGTTGGAATAAACGCTAAAACGGTGTTGACATTTTTTTTTATTTTTCGCGGATAGCAATACAAAAGATAGGTTACGATAAGTGGCAGCATTCGGTGTTTCGGTGAAAATAAGAGCGATAAAAAATGTTCCTCTATAAAACGTCTATACATACTTCTAATAAAAATAACTAATCTGTATCATTTAATTAAGATGCAACGCGTGTACGTGTGTAAGATACTAGCAAAATTATAAGTAAATTTTCATGTTACTTTATCACAAAAGTTGCGAATTTATAGTGACGTGGAGCAAATAACGTCGAATTAAAAAAAACAACTTCGTTTACACGTTTGTATAAATGAAAGTTCTATATATAACACGTATTAAATACCTGTGTATGACGAGTGCCACTGGTCGTTGAACCACCGACAATAATTCATAATCGAATTAGAGTACAGACGTTCGAGAAAATCTCTTTTCAGCTGGCTCGCGATTCGCCACAGTCGAAGCGCCCTGTATAATAAATGTCATGACCACCCTAGACGATCTGTCATCCGAAAGCCGCATCGAATTTGTAATCCCCCGGTTGCATGCTAACCCGAACACGAGATAATACGTCCGGAATATAGATGATTATAGGATCATTGTTGTACCACACAGACACAGAGACTTTTATGACGTCGATTACCATCATAAATCGCACCTTCGTGCCCTACAACTCTTTTTTTCCCATGATCGTCTAATGAGGTTACCTCTCACTGTTTCAGATTTACACAAAACTTCGTTGATGTTAGAGAAAAGGAACGAAAATTTAAGAGAGGATCCAAAGAACAAGGTCGCAACCTCATGAACTTGCACAACAATGAAGCCGGCAGAAGAGTAAGTGAATATTTGTCATAAATTAGAACCTTCAATTATTCAGATTAGGACATAAAATATAAGAAAATATACATAAAAGCTTATGATTACCTAGACGTAACAAAAATTTATAACAAGTGAGACACATTAGTAACACATTACCACTAACTATACCTTTCAAGAAAAGGTTAACATAATTAGTATGGAGGAGATAAAGTGTCGGTACCTCATATCACGTGTTCAACCGTGATTTAGGAGTCTTATAATAAAAAGTTTCTACCTGTCGTTTTCTTTGCGTAAGAAACTCATAATGAAGCACTTTTTTGTATTAATTCTCAATTTATCACAATGTATGATCGTATTTATGCCTTGTTGCAGTTTGGGGCAATACATAATAACCTTAACAATTTTGAGATCGTCCTCGTAGAGAAAGACATTATTCTCGATATGCTGTAATACATCATTGACAAAAAAGTTGAATAAAAGTGGTCATAAAGTCGATCCTTGCGTAACGCCACTGGTGATAATTTATAACCTCAGTATTCTACAGATCAGTATAAACCTAAAGAGTGAAATAAGATCATCATATAAACTAAACTAACTGGCTGACAACTAATGAATTACGATCGACCATATCGAATGCCTTCGATAAGTCAATAAAAATTACATTGTGTCCTTGTAATGTGTGTGTGTGTGTGTGTGTGTGTTAATTATATTTTGAACAATACACTATTTTTAAGGAAAGTAATTTTTTCCGGTTACGTTATCTAAAGACAATAAATTGTATAGATCCGCGTCAACCTGTTTTGCATTTTGATTACTTTTTCGTTTAGGTAGCGAGAACATTTGGTCTTTTATTTATACTGATGTTAATAAATGCCTTGGCATTAGTGTGTAGTTACCTCGTATATTGCTTAAATCTTAATTCTTGTTTGAAGTACGATAAAAACCCTGGTCTTTCTGCAATAAAACAACAATGTTATTCCATCTATAAGCACATGAGCGTAGTACAATTAATGACTCCTTTGAGTTAAACTAAGTATTTTCTTTAACAACCATCACATAAGACTACGTATTATGTTGACTCCACTGTTTGCAATACGAATTATAAAATGCATATAAAGTTCACCGCTTTGTTTTTAAACCATGCAAACAATTAGGACTTTTCTCGTAGTTTTAAAGTTGACTCCACCAAATCTAAGAGTTTCATTTTTAAGTGCGTTTTTCCTGCAGATAATAATACAATAACCCCATTGTAAGTTATGTTTGTGTCAAATATCTACTGAGCGATCAACATAATTTGTGTGAAGTTACAAAGAAAAATAAAATTAATTTATACTGATGCTTAAAATGTTGCTCATTCTGTTATAATCATAAATAAGCTCCACCGATCACATGTATTAACACCTCTACGTTACTGTTTATGTAGTCGATTTCCTGTTATTATTAGCCTTAATTCCCCCAAATTGTTGACAGGTGTTTGATAAATAGAGTTCTTTAAATACGGACTCAAAAACTCGTCAGGAGTAAACTACAAGATTTCGAGGGCCAGATATTCTCTGTATTTCGATGAACGAACCGGTTGTTGAAAAAATTCCGTAACATTGCTATTGTGGTTCTAACCGAATGCACTGTAGCCCCATCTTGTTGAAAATAACTTACTTCCATTTCTTGCTGATACCTAGGTTGCCTTGAAGATGACTACATTCTCATATTTTGAGAATTCACGTAGGCACTTAAATGAAACCAGGTTTCGTCTGTAAAAACCAGCAGCTGGTTATCAAGTGTGGCCAAAAACTACTAACACTAGTTTCAGTGATAGATTTTTTTTTAATATTGCAAATATGTAGTTTACAAAATTATCGGTAATTAAAAATAATTTTATTAAAAACTGTTCTATTATTTCAACGAAGACACACGGATTCCACGGATGACTCGCTTACAAATTATATTAATCGCCTGAGAATTTATAAACACAAAAAATTCGTACTATGTTGTCGACAAAGCTATTGCACACAGTGGATTAGAATTACAGATGTGTTCGATAAATGACCAATTTGCGGCTGGAAATTTAAAATTACTGAAATCTATCACTCACCATCCATCACAAACTGACATACAACGGGAGAACACATGTAACGTCAGCGTGACAATTACGTAGACTGGATAGAAAGCTATAAATTATATGTCGACAAGACGACAAAACTCTGTGCGTACTATGTTCTGACAGTCATTTATAGACAGTTTGTATCTGATATTTTATACATTACATTTTATTTTAATAAATACTAATGTTACATATTGAATTGAATGACTGTTGATGCCTGTAACAGACCCAAATCAAATTCAGACAGCGCTTCAGATAAGAACATACGAGTTTTGATAACTGTACTTATTTATGTATTAGTTACAATATCCTTATAGTGCAGCCGTCGTCACTGTTTCATGAAAAATGACGTTTGACGTGCTAGAGGCAAATTAGTTTTATTTACGCCCGTGCCTAAGGAACATAAGTAATAAAGTGACTTTAATATTACTGGTTTGGGTTGTTTAGTTTCCAGGAATTTTTATTTCCCTGCTTCGTGCATGTAAATATTCGAAGATGTTTTGTTTTAATTTCATTTTAATCCAACAATACTCATTATGCAGCTACCAGGAATTTCAATGAGTATACTGTAATGACAAGGCTAATAACTGCACATAGTCTTTGCAGTGCAACAGAATAATTGTTTATCTTGGAGATAGCGTGGTTTGTGGTGAAGTATCTCTTGACAACCATTTCTAGCGGAGATTGTTCTGCCGGCCGCACTATCGAGTGGTAATTATTTATCGCATCTGCAGATCCTATCTTTGGTTTTATTTGCTACATATGCTAAGTAAGTTTATGTTTCTGCACACACCCTAATTATCTAAATAGTGTTTTTGATAACTGATGTCAACTCGATCAAAAATTAGATTTGACGTAGAGAAGACTGTTGTCGCCAAACTATAAAAAATTTGGCTGAATTAATTAAATAAAGTCTATCTACCTGATGAAGGTTGGAGGACAAACCTATGTTTGAATGCTAATAATGAACTTTCTTGAAATTTTAGAAGCATGTCAGAAATATAACCCATTATATCAGATTTTTAATAAAAGCGCACTTGACAGCTATCATACAATATTTTTAATTTTTAAGTTATCGTCACGTGACTTCAAGTAAAAATTATGTTGTGTCAAGCATTTGCATATACTAATTATTTCCTATTGTCTTCTTTCAGGCTGTCATAAAGAGATCGAAAATCACGTGCAAGTGTCATGGCGTATCTGGCTCCTGTTCACTGATAACTTGTTGGCAGCAGTTGGCTACTTTCAGAGAAATTGGTAAGTATTCTTAAAAAACACTTACTAACACTAACATACATATTTTTATTATTTTTTTTTGGAAGAAGTAAAATTAAGAATTCTACAATAGTTTCCAAACTATAATTGTTTTCGTGTAGACAACAACGCAACCATATTTTTTTTCGCTGAATCCGAAAATTCGCTCCAAAACGAAATAATGTATCAGCGCTTTTTCTCTCAAAAATGGTTATCACCTATTAAACTAATTAAACAAAATAGAGTAAAGTACTCCTTTCTCCGTTGAGAAATAGATCTCGAAATAAAAAGGGTAAACTTCATCTAGCTGAAAATCTAGAAGTCATAATTTTTTTCTCGTATGAGATTTTTAATTTTTCATTCATCCAACAAAAAAAAACATTATTTCAAGTATAGGAAATCAACATGCAAAATATTATAGGACTTATTATGCCTAAGTGTTTTAGCAGCTTTGTATTTTTGACTTATTCTCGGTACAAAAATAAAAATAAACGTATATTTATGCATCGATAACATTTTAACAATTCTGATGAAGTTTTTTTTCTGGTAAACACGACATAGTTGGTAGTCGTAACGTGAAATCTAGGATGCGTAAAAACTTTCTAAAAGTTTTCCTTGAGCTGTAATTTTAAAGTATGTAGAAAATTTCAAAATTAAAATAACGAAAAAGATCATCTTAATTTTTTTTTTTTTTGTTGAACGTAACTCTTGTCTTCTACCTACTATGACAATAATAACTAAGGGTAAAAGTACCATAATATACGTAGATAAATCATCAAATAAAAATAAAACGCTACCTGCAGAAATAAACAAATTAAAATCGTCGAAGTCTAAATAGCGACATCATAAAACTAGTCATAACAGTTACCGTTTGTCGGAAAATAGATGTTATCTTTATTTTTAACGGGACTATCTTTTTTCTCATCTTTCATTTGAACAGTTTGTTGTTTCCTGAATACAGCAGCATTAACTTTATATCTGGTTTTGCGTCCTCGTAAATACGGGTTGAGAGTTTTTTCCAACAATATGCACAAGTAAAATAGTTTAAACGCAGTCATATAACTTGCTAAAAGAAGTCTTCATGTGTCGTAAATTGCACAGCTTCACTGAAATAATTGCAACTGAACAGATTTAAAAAAAAGTGCTACTCAGAAATATTTTTCAAAATGTTGAAAAATATATGTTCTGTTTCGAAAATGAGCTCCATAAACTGCGCATCTAAGACTGTAATTTTCTTTGAAATTTTTTTGAACGATGCTTCGTCGCTACTTTACGAGTATGTGCTGTTATCAAAGTCTGAAATCTTGTCTGGCGCTTTTACATGATTTTTATCATGATTGTCTTTTATAGACCGTTTTATGGCAGGCTAAGATGGCAATAAAATTAAAAGTGACAGGTGGATTTCCGTATTGTGTGACTATCACGTTGTTTGTTTCTCGCATTTGGTTGTTTCATGTAGATTTGGGCGGCTGGATGTGGACAGGTCATAGGTTATAACCTCTCCTACAAGTACGCGTCGAGCACTGGCCGTAAATAATTATTCCTTTATAAAAGCAGTCATGCTAGCTTATTGTGTAGAATAGTACTAAATTAAATGTAAATATTCCAATTGGTAATGTTACAAAAGACCTGCATTCATGCGGGCGTTTTTCTATTTCTTATGGTAGTGTCGGTATTGAATAAAATTGTGTAAATCACTTTGCTTTACATATAGTTTCGTATTTTTAATCCGTCGAACATTCATAATTTTACTTTAAATGTTAGGTTATATTGTTGATATTTATATTCAAATAATATGTATATAATCAGAGGGATTAGCGCGCCTTTTACATTAAATTCAATTAGATATTTTAAAGTTACGCCTACTGTTGGATGTATGATTGTTATTCATACATACGTACCGAAAAAGATTGATATAAATGAAACACAAACATGTGCTGTGTAACACTGTATTTACTTGTTGTTGACAGTTCGGAGTCTATGTACAAAGTTGTTAAAATCGGAAGCGATACATTGCAGGTAGAAGAGAAAGTTGGGGACGCTTGTTGACAAGGGTTGCGGTTGGTAGGTAAAACCGAAACCCGAACATGGTCCGGCGCCTTGAAAGAACTAACTTTCAACATGACAAAGTATAACAATTGCAAATATGAAATACATAATATGTGTCTACATGACAGGTGCATACATTGACAATGAAATAGAGTACAGAACACATAGAAAAAAGGGGTAAATTTAGACACTGCACATTTGTTTATGTCGGAAGCACACACAGCTTAGTCACTTGCAGGTTAATCACATCATGCGCGGTTCTCACTGTCACTACGCGAATGGGGCCATGTAGACCGGGATGAACAGTAATAACGCGTCCCAGTGGTCCATATAAGCGGGGGTGTGTAGTCTTCCTTAACGACCACCAAATCGTCCACCTTATGCTGTTGCGGCTGGCCTTGGTCCATTTTGGGCGATGATGAAGTTGACCCATATGTTCTGCTGTCCACCGTTTCCAAAATTGCTGCTGAGTGCGACTGAATTGTTGCCACCTGGAGAGCCGGTTCGTTGAGACCGTGGTGACGTTATCCTCTGGAATAACAGTTAGAGGGGTTCCAACGGGGAAGTGACCGGGAATTAAAGGAGTCAGGTCATTTGGATCTTTGGACATGGCGGTTAACGGGTACGAATTTAAACACGTTTCGACTTGTATTTGCAACGTCTGCATTTCTTGCAAATTAAATAAACATATACCAGTAACGCGCTTCAACTGACTTTTCGCAGATTTGACCATTGCTTCCCCGATAGTCCCCATATGTGGTGCGGAAGGCGGAATGAAATGAAAATTGATGTGATTAGTTGTCAAATCATTCAGTAAATTTGTATTCGAAGCCCGTTTGGCTAAAGTGACACGTGCTTGGTAAAGCACGGGATCATCCCACCACAAAGTTTTTTCGTATCGTCTGTCTTCGGGTTGAAATAAAATTTGACGGTACATCTTGCAAATGTCCGCTGTAAAGGCAAACCTATACGTTCTAAATCGAATTATTAAATCAAAAATGTCGTTTTGTACTTTTGGCCCTGTACTGAGACAAGCATTTATGCTTTTTCCGAATGATGGTTTGGCTGACCCGTCAAATACTACGCGAATCTTATCAGTGACTTCGTCATTTTTGAAAACCGCGTGGTGAGGCAAGAGGTAATAGGGTTCACTTTCGATTCTATGCTCTGTCAATGGACCTAGTAAACGCATATGACCCAAATTAATGTATTCTTTCATAAAATCGTGATAATTTATTTTTAACATGACATTTTTTGCGAACTTTCGTTCCAATGTGTTGAACCGTTTGAGCGCGATTTCTGTCGGATTCCCCAAGTTTGGTAAAAATTCGTTAAATGTTAATCTGACTTGAAATCGTCCGTTGGATAATTGAGTGGCATTGTTAATAAAATAGTTCTCATGTTGTATTTCAAGAGCTGTGAGCGGCTTATCATCGTTTGAATAACTTTCAAGTTTCCAGAACTTTTCAACCTGCTTTTCTAAATTGACATTATTGACCGCGCAATGTAGATTTTGACGAGTGTTACTGGTGGGGCATCCATGCAATGGCCCTCCTGCGATCCAACCTAATAAAGTTTTTTGTAATATTAAGCCATGTCCTATCGTTTGAATTTGACCTACACATAACAGTTGCCAAAATAATCCAGCTCCGATTAACAGATCGATTGGCTGTGACAAATTGAAATTAGGATCGGCAAGTTTTACCGCTTCAGGTATGTCCAGCTCATCTTTAGAAAAGGTACGGGCAGGTATGTTCTTCGAAATTTTTGGGATTACCAGACAATTTAAAGCTGTTGTAAATGAGTAATGCAACGACTCGATCTGTACCTGAACCTTTTGTCTAGCGGTCGTATTTGAACATTGAATACCTGCTACGACCACATTTGCATTTTCTGTACTTAAACCCAATTTGTTAGTGGCGGCTTCAGTAATAAAATGCGATTCTGAACCCACATCTAACAAAGCCCGGAATTTTTGAAATTTGTTTTTACAATCCTTTATTAGAATTATTGCTGTAGACAAAACGGCTTGTGGAAAAAGGGCGGATGAGCAATAAACTCCGCTGGTACTAGGCTGGTTTTCGTTTGAATGGGAGGGTTGGTCACTATGTAAAAGTGTATTATGTTTCAATTGGCATAATTTACATGACATAGATTTACAGCTATCGGACGTATGCGCTGGTTTGAGACAATTTTGACATAATCTCAACCTATCTACCTGAGACCTTCTTTCCGAAACACTGAGTTTTAAAAAGGTAACACAGTTGTAAATTAAATGAGATTTTTTACAAAAATAACAAGTGGATTGTGTGCTATTGCGATTTACTGCCGCTGTAAATGTAGACACCTTTTGTGGGGGCTTTGAAAATGATTTTGGTTCTGTTTTTTGATTATTATTGTACGTATTATTAGTTTTAAATTGCGATTTATTTAACTCCATCGATTCCATCAAATGACACCGTTGTGTCAAGTAATCAATTAACTGTTTTTTAGTTGGTAGTTCGTTCGTAGTCAAAGATTCTTCCCAACCCCTGCGGCTGACAAAGTCTAATTTCGATGTTAATAAATAAATGAGTAAGACGTCTGATTGATTTATTTCGACATCAAAAGATTTCAACGCTTCAAGATTTGTGTTAAAAGTATCTAATAACTGTCGCATTGAACTAGCAGAATCTTTAATTACTTGAGGTAGATTAAACAAATTGGTCACGTGGTGCTGGACGATTAATCGTTTGTTTTCAAATCTGTCCTTGAGCAATTTCCACGCTACATCATAATTTGCCTCAGAAATTGTTAACGGGTTTATAGCGTTTACTGCGTCGCCACACAAAGAATTTTTTAAATGATGAAATTTCTGAATTTTGGTCAGACGTGTGTCGTCATGAACCAACGTTTTAAATGTATTATAAAAAGGTAGCCATTCAGTATAAATTCCGCTAAACGGTTTAATAACA